ATCTCTGGAGGGCTCGGGACAGGGGGTGCTCCTCTGTCCTGGTCCTGTTAGATCTCTCAGCGGCTTTTGATACCATCGACCATGGTATCATGCTGCACCGGTTAGAAGAGTTAGGGGTGGGAGGCACTGTGTTGCGGTGGTTCTCCTCCTTTCTCTCTGACCGGTCACAGTCTGTGTTGACAGGGGGACAGAGGTCGACCCCGAGGCCCCTCATATGTGGGGTGCCGCAGGGGTCGGTCCTCTTGCCTCTCCTGTTCAACATTTATGTGAAGCCGCTGGGCGAGATCATCCGTGGTTTCGGGGTGGAGTACCATCAGTACGCTGACGACACCCAGCTGTACATCTCCACCCCGGATCATCCCAACGATGCCCTTGAAGTGATGTCCCGGTGCCTGGAGACCGTACGGATCTGGATGGGGAGGAACAGGCTCAGGCTCAACCCATCCAAGACCGAGTGGCTGTGGTTTCCGATGTCCCGATATAGCCAGTTGACGCCATCACTGACTATTGGGGGCGAATCATTGGCCCCCACGGAGAGGGCTCGCAACTTGGGCGTCCTCCTGGATTCACGGCTGTCTTTAGAAGAGCACTTGACGGCCGTGACCGGGAGGATTTTTTATCAGGTCCGCCTGATTCGCCAGTTGCGTCCCTTTCTGGATCGGGACTCGTTACGCACGGTCACTCATGCCCTCGTCACCTCCCGCCTGGACTATTGTAATGCTCTCAACATGGGGCTCCCCTTGAGGAGCACCCGGAGGCTCCAACTGGCGCAGAGTGCGGCCGCGCGGGTGGTAATGGGAGCGACATGGCGCTCCCATGTAACACCTCTCCTGCGCGAGCTGCACTGGCTCCCGGTGGTCTTCCGGGTGCGCTTCAAGGTTTTGGTTATCACCTTTAAAGCGCTCCATGGCTTAGGGCCTGGTTATTTACGGGACCGCCTACTACCACCAATAGCCTCCCACCGGCCAGTACGCTCTCATAGAGAGGGACTCCTCCGGGTGCCATCAGCCAAACAGTGTCGACTGTCGGCCCCTAGGGGGAGAGCCTTCTCTGTGGGGGCATCTACCATCTGGAATGAGCTCCCCCCAGAGATACGGAGGATCCCGGATCTGCGCTCCTTCCACCGTGCTGTGAAGACCTTTTTATTCCATCAAGCGGGCTTGGCCTGATCTCTTCCCTTTTTAAATACGTAAATTTTAATCTGTTTTTAAATTATTGGGGTATTTTAATTTGTCTGGGCCAAATAATTTAATTTGATTTTATTGGGTTTTTAAATTTTGTGTATTTATGTATTTTATTGTTGGCTGTTCACCGCCCTGAGTCCTTCGGGAGTAGGGCGGTATACAAATAAACTAAACTAAACTAAACTAAACTAAACTAAACTAAACCAAACTAAACTAAACTAAACTAAACTAAACTAAACTAAACTAAACTAAACTAAACTGATTAATTTTGGAAGTAGCTGTGGCCTTCCTGTCTCTTGCGTAACAGGAGAACAATTAAAAAAAACAGCTGCCCAAAGAATTAAGGATGTAGAAGCACAAAATGACATGGCTATTCTTAGTAAGGTGGGTAAGTTGAAATGGCTGAGCAAATACAAACCTACTTTTCAACTAGACAACTATTTAAAGTTACAACTGCCAAAACATCTTAGGGAGAGATTTACGCGAGCGAGATTCAAACAGCTGGACACAACGGTCAGATATGGGAGATGCCACTCTAGACCTTATAATGGAGGTCTCTGCATTTGCAGAGTGGCAGAGGCAGAAGACCTGGCTCACGTCCTATTTGATTGCTGCCTGCATAAGAGGGTGAGAGGCAGGTACCTTGGTCCATATACCAAAGGAAGGACCCATTGGGAATCCCATATCAAAATGACTCACCTTATCTGCAGCCAGAATTTGAAAACAACATTTAATACAGCTCAGTACTTGAGCAAAATGGCTCGGTTGAGATTGGCTTATTTATTTATTTATTTATTTATTTATTTATTTATTTATTTATTTATTTATTTATCTATCTATCTATCTATCTATCTATCTATCTATCTATCTATCTATCTATCTATCTATCTATCAAATTTCTATACCGCCCTACTCCCGCAGGACTCAGGGCGGTGAACAGCCAAGATAAAATACAGATAATACAAACATTAAAAATCCATTAAAATTATTAAATATTTTGGCCGAAAACAAATTTAAAACACCCAATTTATAACACAAATTAAACGATTTAAAAATTTAAAAGGGAGAGTTAGGCCAGGCCAGGCCAGCCTGCTGAAATAAAAATGTTTTGAGAGCATGACGAAACATGCGCAGATCCGGGATCCTCCGTATCTCCAGGGGGAGCTCGTTCCAGATGGTAGGTGCCCCCACAGAGAAGGCTCTCCCCCTGTTTGGCCGACGGCACCCTGAGAAGCCCCTCTCTATGGGAGCGTACTGGTCGGTGAGAGGCTATTGGTAGCAGAAGGTGGTCTCGTAAATACCCCGGTCCGATGTCATGGAGCGCTCTAAAGGTGGTAACCAAAACCTTGAAGTGCACCCGGAAGACCACCGGGAGCCAGTGCAGCTCGCACAGGAGGGGGCTCACATGGGAGCGCCATGCCGCTCCCATAACCACCCACGCAGCCGCATTCTGGACCAGCTGGAGCCTCCGGGTGCTCCTCAAGGGGAGCCCCATGTACAGAGCATTGCAGTAGTCCAGGCGGGAAGTAACGAGAGCATGAGTGACCGTATTTAACGAGTCCCGATCCAGAAAGGGACGCAACTGGCGAATCAGGCGAACCTGATAAAAAGTCCCCCTGGCCACAGCCATCAAGTGCTCTTCCAAAGACAGCTGTGAGTCCAGGAGGACACCCAAGTTGCGAGCCCTCTCTGTGGGGGCCAATGACTTGCCCCCAATAGTCGGTGATGGCACCAACTGACTATATTGGGATGTTGGAAACCACAGCCACTCGGTCTTGGATGGGTTGAGCCTGAGTCTGTTTCTCCCCATTCCCATATGTGGGACTGATTGGGGTAGACTGAAGGGGTGATATTGAAATATAATTTTATCATATTTTATTTATCAATATATTATTGTATTCTATTCCAATCTCATTTTGAATTGTATTTTATTCAAATTTCATTTTAAATTGTTTTTATCGGATTTTAGTAATAATTTGTGTTTGGAACTCTGCACTTTGATTTGGCCCATGGACTAATCAATCAAGTAAACAAACATAACCTTCAGGTGTCGTAGGAAAAATTTAAAAAGATTAAAAATTATTTGAGTATCATTTTGAAGACAGTTTTTATCCACTTAGTTATCATACCATCCGCCCCTCAGTTTTCTAATCACATCACACAATTGTTTGTGAGTCCGTTACTGAAATCCAGTGATATCACCAGAGTTCCCATAATCTATTTAGGAAGTGCAATGATGTGTGAGAATGACTTTTGGGATGAGGGGAAGAGAGGCTTCCTAGGGAAGGATCAGAGAAGAGGGGAGAATCCAGGGGTGAAATTCACTTACCTTCCCTACCGGTTTGCAAATGTGTGCGCACTACCACAGAGCCCCCATCAGAGCCTCCCCCAAACTCCAGGACTGGCCCATGTCCCTCCCCAACCGAATCTGCTGCCAGCTCCACTGGCCACTGGTGTACAGCTATACAGATTCTTCCTTCGGCTTCTGTCAATCCTGTCTCCAGGCGCAGAAGTGCATTTGAGACACAATGTGGCATCTGGAGAATTGATCTGGTGAATTTGGACTGAACTACTTCTAATGATGTAAAACATGAAGCTGACGGTCCGAGCAACATCCCATAAAGGAGCTGTGCTAGCGACGTGGGCACAAAAACCTGAATAGCAGCAGGGACATAGTAGCCTCCCTTTGTGCGGAAACAATGAAGAATGGTGCTGGCTTATCTTTGGCCCAGGGCAGCTGCATCTCTCTTGAACCCTTGGCCTGAATGGCCACCCCCAGGGATTTGAAGGGGCTTCCCTGCTCTATTTTGTGGCCATTTAGATACCATGAATCAAGTTTTGGCCTTTTTGATCTTTGTTTTCTCATCATTGATGCCCAGTTGATTGTAATTGCAGTGCTGGAGAAGGGCTCGCAAGGCTCTTTTAAGGCCTACTGGTGTCCTGGAGAGGATCACAGGGGCATCTGCATAGAGCAGGAGGGCGATGCTTCGGTCACCTATTTTTTTTTGGCTGTATGTGTGTGTGATTTGGTTTGTTTAGCCATTTTACCATGCCAGTTATGTAAAAGTTGAAAAGCAGGGGGGGCCAAAATGCCCCCGTTTAACCCCCTTTTGAGTTTTAACTGACTTCGAGAGGGACCCCTGCATATCACACCTCACCTTGAGGGATGTCTTAGTATGTAGGGCAGGTAAGAGATGAAGAAGCCTGTGGTCAATTGAGGCAGCTTCCAGCTTCTCCCATAGCTTAGTCCTGGGAACCGTATCAAAGGCTGCCTTGAGATCTATGAAGCAGGCGTAGAATGATGCAGGTCTATTTGATATGTATTTTTCAATCAGTTGATGAAGAACTAAGCACTGATCGGTAGTGCCTCTCCCCTCTCTAAGCCCGGCTCCCTCTTCAGCGATCAAATTCTCCAGAGCCAGCCACTCTCCATCTGGAGGTATTTTCCATCAGGATGACCAGGGAGAAGATTAGCCTGACTACTTTCTTCTTGATCAACCCATGCTTTCTGGGAATCAACCTCTTGTTTTCAAAGAGTTTATGAATAAACCTTTTCCCCCCTCTCTTCATTTTATTTGTCATCTGCTCTAGAATGTTCCCTATAATTGACCAATTGTATCAATGATATTTTCTCTATGCTTTGTCATATGATGGACAAATCTTTCTCAAAGCTTTTCATTCACTTATGAAGATAATGGCCGTATTTGTATCCTATTTAACCATATTTGGAGATTAGACAATTGTAGAAGAAAGATTCAATGTGGGATAAGAAACAAAGTTCTCTGTTTTTCAAATTCTTGGATGTTCCCATTCTAGTTTCATCCCTTTCTGGAGAAGAATGAATTTTGGAATATTTCTGACAGAAAACTGTACTTGGACCAAAATGGAGAGATAAACGCAGATCTGGGCATCAGAATCTTCTTGATTCTCCCTAAGGAGGATCCCAGGAGAGTGATTCTGGCATATTCTCTAAGACAGAGACTTACTATCAAACAAGATGCTCTTTCACGGCTAAAGTTGCTGAATAAGGTGAGAGAAATGTTGGTGTCTTTTCTCTGTTTTCCAAAGTCTGAGGCCCCATTTCAAGTGGGCAAAGCAGGGGTGAAATGGTACCGGTTCACTCTGGTTTAGGTAGTGATAAAAACTTTTAAAAGGTTAAAAAAAGGTTCCAACGATCGCGCAGCACAGCTGTGATCATCGAAATCTTTTTTTTTTTTTTACTTTTTAAACATTTTTTTACTATTATTTACTATTCACCTGAACCGGTAGTAAAAAAATGCTTTAAAAAAGAAAAAAAAAAGTAGGCCAAGTCCACCCAGTCACATGACCCCTACCAAGCCACGCCCCCAAGCCACGCCCACAGAACCGGTAACAACAAATTTTACATTTCACCACTGGGGCAAAGCCTGGAGTCTCCAGGGTGGTTGGCCTCCCATGCCAGGTGGTGTCATCTCATGGAAGCTCTTCAAGAGACGGGACCTAAGTGAAATGGCTTTGCCATGTTTTATGGAAACCTTTCAAGATCTTACTGGTCAGAGGTTTCTTTCTTCATCACAGTTTAATTTCATATTAAAAAATCTAATGGAATAAAAGTTTCCTCAATCTTTTACAGTAAACTTTATTATCAGTTTTAATAAGAATATATCATCATATTTAAATCTTTTTTCAATTCCATCTCTCTAGACTTAATTAAATAGAAAATTACTTTAATGTAATGTTAAATTCCGAAAGCAAAAGGAACTAAATGAAGAATCTGCCAGTTGTTTTACCTCCTGCATCTGTTTAGAAGTAGTCAGACGTTTCATATTTACCCCAATGAAGATCAGAGGCTCCTTCTCTCCATCCATTTCTACCTCCATTTTCCATGGACGGAGAGTCCTAACATCTTTTCTTTGGCATTCCTTGTTTTTCTGTTCAGTCTCTGCCTGAGTCCAAATGTGTGGAAAGTTGTCATCCTGGATTTGTCAAGAGGGCTCGAGAAGGAGAGCCAGTTTGCTGCTACGACTGCCTTCCTTGTCCGGAGGGGACCTTCTCCACTCAGGAAGGTGGGTCACACTGAGGAAAATGGGAGGCTTTGTGGAACTGGATCCATCCAGAACCTTTTCATGAAAGTGGAAGTTAAAAGACAGATCGATTTATTTTTAACCTGCACAATTTCTTACCTAAAAGGAAGTAAATCAAAAAGACTTGGAAGGAGGGCCTGGGAAGAGATGGGAGGAGGAGGAGGCAGACTGGGCAAGCTTTACTAACAGCAGAGGAAATATCTCTTCTGCTTTTTAGTTTGGATTAGTGCTGCTAAGTTCACCTTTCTAGGAACATCTGAGTCAGGGGTGAAATACAATTTTTTTCCATACCGGTTCGGTGGGCGTGGCTTGATGGGCGTGGCAGGGGAAGGATATTGCAAAATTTCCATTCCCAACCCACTCTGGGACCAGCCAAAGGTGGTATTTGCCGGTCCTTTGAACTACTCAAAACTTCCGCTACCGGTTCTCCAGATTTCACCCCTGATCTTAGTTCTTTGAAACTTGATCAATTGTTTTAGGTCCACCTTCTGAAAAACCTTGCAATCCACTGTATATTGGATTCTCCCCTTGAGGATCACGGAGAAGGTGTCACTGGGCCATAATGTGGTGCTGTGGATAGTTATGGGGGGAACTCATTACACAAATAGTCTGCCAGTCATGTAGATCAATCAATCAATCAATCAGAACAGAATAGAGCTGGAAGGGACCTTGGAGGTCTTCTAGTCCTACACCCTGCTCAAGCAGGAGAACCTAGACCATTTAAGACAAGTGACTGTCCAGTCTCTTCTTAAAAACCTTCAGTGTTGAAGAACTCAAAACTCTGGAGGCCAGCTCTTTCCACTGGTTAATTGCTCTCACTGTTAGGAAGTTTCTCCTTAATTCCATATTGCTTCCAGATGTTACAGGATACTGTAGGTATCCTCCAAGTCCAGGATATTAACTGTCAGGTGGACTCAGAATGTTTGCCTAAAATGATTATATGATTCATTATTAAGCTCTAATACTGTAGGTTCCTATGAAGATTCTACACATTATACTGGAAATAATTAACACCGTAGAATTTCGCTCAATTGAATATATCTGGCTACATTTCTTTAAAAAATCCTTCTTATACTCTTTTTAATGAAATCTTTATTAAATACTTCTTGGAAAATGCCGCTGGTATCAGCTGTTATCCAAAGAAGGCATTTCTTGTAAGATAAAAGGACAGAATATTAATGAAAGTTGCTTTTTTGTTTTCTCAGATACAAAAAAATGCACCAAATGTCCAGATGATAAATATCCAAATGAGGCCAGAGTCCAATGTATCCCCAAAGTTATAACTTTCCTGTCTTATGAAGAACGTCTGGGCATCATCCTGGTCTCTTTTGCCCTACTCTTCTTCCTAACAACAGGCCTTGTTTTAATCATCTTCATTAAATACCGAGAAACTGCCCTTGTCAAAGCCAACAACAGGGACCTCTCCTATATCCTCCTGGTCTCCCTTCTGCTTTGCTTCTTGTCTTCTTCTCTCTTCATTGGTCAACCAAGGAAATCCACCTGCCTTCTCCAACAGACAGTCTTCAGCCTCATCTTCTCAGTGGCCATTTCTTCTCTCTTGGCCAAAACCATCACGGTTGTGCTGGCCTTCCTGGCTACAAAACCAGGAAACCGAGTGAAGAGATGGTTGGGGAAGAGCTTGGCCAACTCCATCATCTTCTCTTGTTCTGCTGTCCAAATTATCATCTGCTCCACCTGGCTGGGAGTTTCTCCCCCTTTCCCTGACTCTGACCTCCACTCCCAGCCTGGAGAGATCATCCTGCAATGCAACGAAGGGGCCGTTGTCATGTTCTACGTCACCCTCAGCTACATGGGCTTCCTGGCTGCCATCTGCTTCACGGTGGCTTTCCTGGCCAGGAACCTGCCTGGGGCCTTCAACGAAGCCAAGCTGATCACCTTCAGCATGCTGGTCTTCTGCAGTGTCTGGGTGACTTTTGTGCCCACCTACCTGAGCACCAAAGGGAAATACATGGTGGCTGTGCAGGTCTTCTCCATCCTGGCCTCCAGTGCTGGTCTGCTGGGCTGCATCTTCATCCACAAGTGCTACATTATCCTTCTGAGGCCGGACCTCAACACAAAGGAGCAGCTCACAGCCAGAACAAATGTAAAAACATGAAATATAACACAAATGTGATATTGAAAGAATTATTAGATTTTCTTTTATTTGAAAGGATATATTCTTTCCATTTAGATAGTATGCAGGAGTCAAAGAAAATCATTTCTATATGTTCCAAATTTGGGAATTATTGAATTGTTCACAAAGGAGCAGCTTACAGCCAGAAGAAATGTGTAAATGTGAGACTGATGAATTTCAACTTTTAACATTTTCCACAGTCCAAACATAGAAAATGGTCCAAGCTCTTCTCCATGCATGAGTGGGCCAACTATTTTTCTTGAAAGAAATAAAGGGTGTGTGGAAGATTGTGAGGAGACAAATTTCTTGGAGAAATAGAAGCATGTTAGCAAGACAGAAATATAGAAGGAATGTATGGAGCAACGTTGATGCCCTCATTTCTCAGTACATTTCACCCAAACTGCTGTGGCAACTGAGAGGTTTCTTTTTGTTTGCACAATAACTCTTTCTTGAGGGTAGCAACAATACAAGGGTCGGGAGATAACTTGAGTGAATATTCATGCTTACATCATCTATTAAATGAAATATGTCTGATTATCATTTTCTCCTCCTTTCCTCGAATGTATAAATATGAGTGCATCCTTTTGTCTGTAAGATTTCCTCCCAATATTTTCTGGAGGGAAATTCCTCCAATGGACACTGAATAAATAACAACTGCAGTGAGCCTGGATTGATGGTTTTTTGGCTCCTGTGTTTGATTTCACAGAAACTGGTGTCAGGACTGTGAGTCACAATCTTCCATCTGCCACCAGGGACAACAGATGGGGCAGCCCTGTAGGGTGAGTGTTGTGAGATTGAGTCCATAACCTTTCTCACTGCCACATAAAGGCACCATTTAGGAGTGTGTGTGAGACCACAGTCTGTGTCCAAGTGTCTCTTGCGGCTGGAAAGGTTTGTGGGGTTTTTGTGGTCCCTTCCGTCCCAATTTCTCAGCCGCCCTGGCCCTGCTGTGAGCTCAGCTGAGCGATTGCTGGAGGAGTCCAGGAAGCCAGGGAGAATTTGGCTTTGCAGAGTGAGTGTGACCCTCTGTGTGGAAGAATGGAGGATGATCCGGAGGCTTGGTTCAAATACCCATTTTCCTGTTGTCTGAATGGAGGAACTCAGCTGATCAAGCAGGGAGGGAAGTGGATGATGGGGCTCAGTCAGGCTGTTAGGGTTGCAACCGATGCCCTAATTAAATCATGAGTCTCAAGCCGAGCTTCAGAAGAAATCCAGTTATTGATTAGGAGCTTCATGTAGGCACGGACCAAGTGAAGCCAACACTGACCTCACATAATTCGCACCTTGGCTCTGACTCTGTTTCCCACACCCCCCAAGGTGTGTCATCAGTCTCATTCCCCAACGAAGCAATTTTGCGGGTTGTAGAAGTCACTCCCTCCAGCCACTCTGGATCTCCATGAAGATGGGCTTGAGGTTTGCAGGCTGGAATGTGCTTTGTTTTGACTGAGATGCGAATTCCTCAATACAGCTGTGAGGCTCAATTCCCCAACCCCCTGTCTATGGCAACTCAAGAGGAGTTCGTGAAGGCTTCGCGAGTTGACAGAGACTCTGCTTGGGAAAGGAATCTTTCCCAAAGAAACAGGGAAACCTGCTGTGTCCCAGGGCTGGGAGGGGGTTCGATGCCCCCACTGGTTCCTACACAGCTGTGAAAAAAGGGAGTGAGTGAAATTGGAAGGGATGACTAAAAAAAAACTCTTCCTCCTTGTGAGAAGAGAAATTCCTGTATCTGCACAAGGCTGTGACAGAATCCATGCAAACAGAAGCAAGAAAGCCAGTTTTTATTTTTGTTAGATTTTTCCCCAGTGTTTTATTGTTTTTTCAAATAACTAAAGGAGGTGAACATGTCCAACTCTTCTTCCTCTTCCTCTTTTCCCCACAACAATCACCCTGTGAGGTGGGCTTGTCTGAAAGAGAGTGTCTGTCCCGAGGTCAGCAAACAGGCTTTCAGGGCTAAGGCAGGACTTGAACTCAGGATCTCTTGCTTCCTAGCCTGATGCCTTAACCATTGTCAATGTTAAGGCAGGGCAGATTTTGGGCAAAGGCCCTGCTGGTCACCACTGCCGCCTCGTCTTCCGACAGAACCCCAAGTCCCCCTCCCCCTCCCGGGTCTTTCTGGGGTAGAGCAGCCCCATCCGAGAGGAAAGGAGAGAAACTCCTGGACACAGAGAGCCCCTCCCCCATCACAGCCCCTCCCTCTTGCCAAGACTCACTGCCTGTAGGGGGCAGCATAGAGTCTGGCCCTGAAGTCCTAGCTGGGCCCTGGGAATTGAAATCGGGGCCTCCTCATGATTGGCTCAAAGCCCCCAGCCACCTTTGACGCCTAAGGCGGGACTAGAACTCAGAGTCACTTACTGATTGGCTCAAAGACACTAATGCCCCACCTTTTCTTGATAGCAAGATAGGTTGGCCACTGCCTTCTCCTCAACCTACCCCTGGCATTTCCTGGTGGTCTCCCAACCCTGCTTAAGCTTTTCCAAATCAGCCTGCTGCTGCATCCTACAGCTAGTCCTCCACTTACAACCAGAATTGGGACCAGAAATGGCATTGCTAAGCTAGGCGGTCGTTAAGTGAGTTGTGCTGAATTTTACCATGTTTATTGCCACCGTTGTTAAGCGAATCACTGGGGTTGTTGAGTGAATCCTGCAGTCATGAGACAAACGCCGTTTCGCCCACTGATTTTCCTGGTCATAAATCCGTGTTGATTGCCAGGCACCCAAATAGTGACCTTGTGTCCAAGGGAAAGTTGCACTAGTCGTAAGTGCGAGGACCCATCATAGATGGCTTTTTTCAATGGCCGTGGAACTTGGAACTGTCGCCAAATGAATGGCTATAAATCGAGGACTCCCTGTAGGATACTTGGTCAGGGACTGAACCAGTGGTGAAATGTAAAATCTGTTACTACCAGTTCTGTGGGCGTGGCTTGGTGGGGGGGGTAATGTGACTGGGTGGGCGTGGCCAACTTTTTTTTTAACTTTTAAAAGCATTTTTCAGGTTGTAGAAAAAATGCTTTTAAAAGTAAAAAAAAAAAAAAGCCTCTGATGATCGCACAGCTGAGCTGGGCTTGTGGGGGGGGAGGGGGGGCACAGGGATTTTTGCTACCGGTTCCCTGAACCACCCGCCGCCATCGCTACTGGATCAGGAGATCCGGTCAGAACCGAGAGCATTTCACCCCTGCCTTGGGGGGAGGGGAAACAGGGTCAGGGCCCAGGTGCGAATTATGTGAGCTCAGAGTTGGCTTCCCTTGGTCCGTGCCTACCTGAAGCTCCTAATCAACACCTGGATTTCTTCTGAAGCTCCGCTCGAGGCTCACGATTCAATTAGGGCATCGGTCGGAACCCTGACAGCCTCCCTGAGCCCCATCGTCCACTTCCCATCTAGCATGAATTACCTTGGCTAAACCAGGTGAAAAAGCCAAGGAAACCAGCACTTTTCAGACTCCTTGCCGGCCTTTGCCAGACAAACTAATTCAAATCAAATCACAAAATGCACAAAAGAAGCCTCTAAATTCCAAAATGCTGCAGAAGAAACTGCCTCCAAATCCCCGTCCTGACCGAACCGAGAATCGAAGGCTGTGGTGGCTTCCGCCTCCATTCAAGCTTCTTTTTGAGCTGCTGGCTTCCCTCTTCCTTCTTCCTCGGATCCTCCCAGCTGAGGACCCAGCGGATCCCTTCCCTGAGATTGGCAAGATCCTGCTGATCTTGCACAGAATCCAAAGGATTCCCCCTCCTTTGATCTAGAAATTAGAAATCCTTCTGGGTTAAATACCAGGCAGGTAGGAGTTCATACAGGGGATCTCCCTTAGTTTCCCCTAATGAATATAGTACAGGTAAGTCCTTGACTGACAGGAATTCTTTTAGTGACCGTTCAAAGTTACAACGGCGTCACTGAAAAAAGGTGACTTATGACCATTTTTTACACTTTCGACCTTTCTAGCATCCCTTTTGATCGCTTGATCAGAATTCAGCCACTTGGCAAATGGTTCGGACTTATGACCGTCGCTGTGTCCCAAGGTCACGGGACCCCCCTCTTGCAACTTTTCCACAAGCAAAATCAAGGGGGAAGCCAGATTCACTTAACAACCATGATACAAACTTCACAACTGCTGTGATTCACTTAACGACTGTGGTGAGAAAGGTCGTAAAATGGGACAAAATTAACTTAACAAGTATCTTTCCTAACAACAGAAATTTGAGGTTCAATGGTGGTCGTAAGTCAAGGACTACCTGTAACTCCTTTTTCATGCAATGTCCTGGTGTCTGATCTTTGTCTCATCCCAGCTATGAACTCAGCCTAAAGTCTCCTCTGATATCCACCGTTTCCCTCGTCTCCTGATAACCCCATTCCTTCCTTCACCCTCCGTTGTGGCTGACATAGTCAATGGGGAGGGGGGGATCTGGCAGCCCCTCTTAGTTCCTCAAACTGATCTCCCCCCCACCCCCCACGGATGCTTTCCTCCCAAGGTCCTCCTGGCTGGAGGGGCAGAGAGGAGCCAAGGGCTGGCTTTTCCAGGGGGGTCTGTGGATGGGAGCCTCCCCGGTGCTTCCTAAACCCCTTGAGAAGCTCCTGTTCAATGTAGGCTTCCTGGCCATGAAAAAGAGCATGGAGTGTGTTAGTTCAAGGCCAGTTTGACCTTCCTTTGAAGGACTCTTGGAATCTTGTGCTGCACAATTTATATCAGGAAGGGAAGTTGGGTTCTGCCAGCCGTAGGTTTCTGATTCGGCCATTACTAAGTGAATTACAGGGTGTTTTTTTTTATGCTTCAGATGATAATGAGTCTCTTTAGAGCCAGACTTTTACTGTTTTTACTACTTTTATTCGTTTTTCAACACTGCACAGTTGCCCTGCCTGGTGGATGCTCTCAGGACAAACTGTATAAAATATATACCATCCTCATTCAGATACTGTTAAGTCTGCTGTTCTCTATAAGCTTCACACAGATCATAAGATTTCTACTGTCCATCGTACGAGTCAAATGGACAGAAACAGAAGCCATCTGGGCGCCAGGTGCTGAATTCTGTGCAGCCTCCCTCCCCCCACCTGCTGTAAAGTAAGACATCCCCCAAAATAAGACTTAATATCCATTTTTTTATACTTAAAATGGTCACGAGGGCACAGAGCCGGTTGTTAAATTATTTGAATCTCACACCTGCTGGATTTTGTTGAACTCTTTTCCGTTGATGGGTGGGGCCATGCAGGCTATAAAAGCTTTAGTGGAAGAGAGAGAGAGAGAGAGAGAGAGAGAGAGAGAGAGAGAGAGAGAGAGAGAGAGATGGACCCAAACGAGCTGCTGCGGCCATCCCTTGACAGACCCCAGAACGTCCTTGGAGACCCCTGGAAAGTGACCTTGTTTGTCCTTGGGGTCTATGCATTGGTTGGCCTCTGCGTTTTCTTCCACCAGTGCAGGTAAGTTGCTCCTGATCAGGGGAGTGGCCTCACCACAACCTGGGGAGCCCTGGGGCACTGAAAGCCTCCCAAAATGTTGGTGGGACTAACAGGAGAAAGGATAGAGTCTCTCAGGGGTGGAAGGGACCTTGGAGATCTTCTAGTCCAACCCCCAACCTTTCCTTGAAAATCTCCACTAATGGGGCTCCCATTAAGAATAGGTTTATTATCCTTGTTAAGAAAAGAATGTACCAGTCAGTGATATTTTATTCTTTTTTTCTTCTTCAATCCCCAGGAAAAGGTGTCTGCAAGTGTCACCAGAGCAATGAAGTGAAGATGTGGAGGCCGCCATCATCACGGTAGAACCCTACATACCGGAACCCATCAACCCCAACCTCACCATCATTGATGAACGAAGGAGGATGTCAGACGTTCTACCTTGCACAAGATGGAAGAGATGCCAACCATCGCATTGTTGACCAGGGCTGAATATCTGACATCGTCTTTCATCAATTATGGTGATGTGGGAATTATTGTTTTTTTCTTCAATTCCCATAAAAAGGTGTTTGCAAGTGTCACCAGAGCAACCAACTAAGGATGTTGAGTCGGCCTCCATCACAGTGGAACCCTACATACCGGAACCCATCAACCCCAACATCACCATCATTGATGAACGAAGAAGGATGTCAGACGTTCTACCTTGCTCAACAATATGATGGTTAGAAAGTGTTTGAACTAATTTGGTTATCAGGTTTTTTCCATTATGATGATATTATTGTTATTTAATTCTTGGATGGATTCCATTCAAGAGACGGAAAAACCCAGGTGACTGCAGTCAGTGGACAACTTGGAGGCGGGAAGAAGTGAGTGGACCAAGGACTTGTCCACAAGAAGAGTCCTAGCTGAAGGGAGAGGATTTGGGGTCTCTTGAGGTCACCTGGTGTCCTTGGTTGCGCTGCATTTCCTGCTTTGGATTTTTGGGTGGGGATGGCTGGCCTTGGAAGCTAAAAAGAAAGAAGAGTGGGAGCCTGGTACTTTTAAATACTAACTAGGTTGCTAAGTTTTATTTATTTATTGCTTCTTGCTTATTTATTATTTTATTATTAAAATATTAAATTGGTGCTTGTTTTGCCCCATGATGAATAACTGCCATCAGTGAAATCCCAAAACAATTGGAGCCCCATTTCGACACCCATGGCATTGACAACCTCACCATCGGTCAATTGCCAAAGGCCGCTTTCCTTGGAAGAGCTGACATCCAATCTGGCTGACGGTGTGAAGAACCACAATCCCCCTGTGAGGCAGGACCTTGACGTGGTTGTGGGGCTTGTGTGCTCAGAGGAAGATGAGGGCTACACCTGAGGTTCAACCATACTGGAGAGGACTCATGAGAGGAACTGGACAAAGAATGCCTCTCCCATAAACAATAGGGAAAAACACACATGACAGAAACCAGGTGGGCTCTCCAGTTGCCCAGGTCAGGAAGGACCGTGCCAGGGGTTCAAATTCCTGGACATCTGGTGGAAAATGACCTGCAGGACTCAGGACTGCTGGCTGAGCATCCAGGGGTGGCAGCTGCTGAACCACTGGAAGGAAAGTGTTTTTCCGACTCCCCCCAAGATGGCAGCCAGACTCAGCAGGGGTTTTTTCCCCTGTTCCTGGTTTCCTCATCTGAACTGGTTCTTTTCTCCCCTTTTATCTTTTTATGCACTTTTTAATCTAGTTTTATTTAGCTTTGGGGGCTTGTCTGTCATTCCCCCCCCCATTTTTTGGAGGTTTTGAATGAAATGAAAAATAGATTTGAAAAAAAGAAATGATATGAGAAAAAGTACAAATGAAATCTTAATGAAAGATTCACATTGTAGCTGCCATTCGTTTGTTCTTATATAAAATAGGAGAGCTTGTTAAGTCCTCCTGCTAAAATTATTTATTTTTCTACTGGATTTTACTTATGCACTCTATTAGGAAATCATAGATATTGTTCTAAAAACTGGGTGGTATTTTTAAAACAACATCAAAGTAGCTTTGTCTAAGAGTCGATATAAATGTTGCATCCTGAAAAAATCCTATTTCTTCAACTATCCTGCCTGTATTAATGACAATATAGAAGAATAGATGGAGAAGATGCTGCACAGGGAATGATCAGATAAGGGGGGAGAGGAGCTCCCAGGTGCATAATTGGCAGAGAAAGAACCTCAGAAAGGACCCTCCCTCATTTTTCAGGCTTTCAAAAGCTTTGGTGGGAGATTTGTACTTTCAGACATGCAAGGTTCTCTTATGTGCCCTTCCAATAAAGTAGAGTTACATCATGTTTCTCATCTGGTGTACCTGGGAGAAGAAGCGGGGGGGCTTGATACCTAGTGTGCCAGGTGAGTCTGGCCAGAGCCGGATCTGGGAGGTCTGATGTGGCTGCTGCAGACTGTGCTTCTGCTTGTTTTCTCTCATAGTCCGACTTTCTCAGTTGGCTGTAATGGCTTTTCTCCACATGGTAATTGTGGTCCATCTCAGCCAGTTCATGCTGTAGACTCTGGAGGAATTTCTTACCTTCTGGCGGAAGGTTCCTCACCTCTTCGAGGTCTTTCTCAGAGTCACCTTCTCTCGGCTGAGATGGACAATTGGCTAGTTCTTTGTGGAGTTCTTCAATGTATTTCATCAAAGATGTGTTCTCTAGCTCTAACTGATGACATGATCTTCTGCAGGTTTTCTGCAGGTCTTCTGTTGTGGTCTTAAGTTAATCCACTTTCTCCTGGAGACAGCTGTGCTGATCTTTCATCCATTGATTTTCTTTCTGGAATTTCTGGGACTGAAAGTCAAAGGAGTCTCTCAGTTCATCAACCTGGAGGTTGGGACCATCAGTGGTCACTGAGAGATCGCCCAAGGATATTGACCATTTCTTCCTTGTTGCTCACCTGTTTGAAAAATGGAGAGACACAGTCACATCCTCTCTCCGTTCAGGGCCAATTTTGCTAACCTGCCTTCTCCATTCTGACTTTTTCCTAAAGTTTTGGAGTCCATCATCTTCTGCTAGAATGAGATGCAGGAGGAGTGAAGAACCAATGAACAATCTGCAGAGGGGTCTCCTGCCAAAGGATCCTTTAGATATAATTTACCCAGATCAGTTCTCAGCTACAAAGCACCAGGTTCAAAATATCATATTTGAGGGCACATCAAGTGAAAACCAGCTCTCTGGAGACGTTCCTAATGCTGGGAAAGGTGGAAGGGAAGAGAAGGAGGGGACAATTTGGGGTAAGGTTAGTGGATTTGATTATTGTGTGGATGGGTGAACTTTAGGGAGACCTGAAAATCCAGACTGGGGACAGGTCATCCATCTACCTCTTTGGCCACTCAGAATCCACACAGTTTCAATGCTGTCAATCAATGCAGACGAAGCTCCCTGGAGAAGTCGGTAATGCTGACATGGGTGAAGGAAAGAAAAGAAGGGAAGGATCACTAGTAAGCAGCTATAGTGGGGATGGGGGAAGGTTGGGAGACCCGAAGGACCAGGTTGGGGCAGATCTACATGGAGAAAATCATCTATGGGCTGCTAGGCATCAGCATCAACATCAACTTGATGACATAGAATTAATCCATCAATCAGTCAATCAATCAGGCAGGCAGTTGACTTACAAGGTCCCTTTCAGCTGTAGGCTTCTATTGACTACTTCCTTTTCATTGTCACCTTAATCTGCAAATAGGGAATAGATGAGGGTTAACACAATCAAATTACAATAGCCTACATCAGTCATTAAATTACACGACAACAACTTTGTGTAAAAACCTTTAACGGATGGATGGTCTTCAGCTCCCAGAATTCTGCATGCTGGCTGGCTGGAGAATTCTGGGAGTTGAAGTCTCCCCCCATACCTTAAAGGGGCCTAGTTCAAGAAACACCAACAGAATCCCTCAATACTGATCTCTCTTCAAATTCTTCTGGCTTCCCATTTGATTCCGAGTCACTCTCAAGGCATGTCATTGCTCAAAACCCTCCAAAGGAGTTGGCTCTCCATCAATTTGGACGTCTTTGTATTGCTATGATTTCTGATAACAGGAAAAGGTGATGACCATTGGAATTAAGACAGATCCCCCCCAAGTACTTACGAGTCCCATCTCAGCCACGAAAGCCAGGTGGGTGACCTGGAACCAGTCTCTCTCTCAGCCTTCACAAGGTTGTTTTTGTGGGGATGAAGGAATCTTAGATTCGTTCACTGCCTTGGGCTATTTAGAGAAATAATAAAGGTGGTATAAAAGCCTATGTAATAAAAAATGAAAATAAATGAATACTTCAGTTGCCTTAAAGGGGAGGGTCTCTCCCTCCTGAGGAGCCCAGGCGAGGGAGGCCCTGCGATGCCCCCAGTGCTGCCATCCAATCCAGCCACTTTCCAGGGATGTTGAGCAGAGCCTCCATTATGTGGTCCAGACTCCCCAAGGATGCTGGCGGTTGCCATGGTGAGCTCCAGCCAATGAGCTCAGGAGGAGCCTCTGACGTCACAAGCCAAGGCTCTGATTGGCCTGGACCTGAGATTTGAAAAATGACCACCAAATGGCTGCCTTCACCTGGGGGCAGGTGGATGAGCCAATCCAGAAGGGGCTTTGAATTCCCTTCAGCCACAGCGGCTCCTTCTGAGGGGGGAACCGTTGGTCGCCTGGAGAGGTCGGGGAGCCCCAGATTCTGCCCCTTCTGTGGGGATGGAGCCCAGATTGAAATGTCGCCCCTTGGATCTGGAATGAAAGCTCCAGAGAGTCCAGATTTTCCTCTCCAGGCCCAGATGATGAAGGGGAGCTGAGAGGGAAACACCACAAAAGATTAAATATTATTCGTATCCAAAAGGCCTTGTGAAAATGTACCTAAAGGAACACAGGGGTCTTTGCCAGCTTTAGGTGTCCTCCTCACTGCCTGCAGAGGCCAAGTATGGCTTAAAAGGCCAGAGTATAGGCTGCCCCCTACAGGCAGTGAGAGGGACCACTAAATCATGGAAGGACCCGGTGGAGGAAGGACCCTGAGTGCTGACTGGAATTCTGGGAGTTGAAGTCCACACCTCTTCAGGTTGCTAAGGCTGAGAAAGACGCTCTAGTAAACCCTTCACTGGGCAGTTGGAGGGATGACCTCTGAGGTCTCTTTGGATTCCATTTGTCCATTATTCTAACTCCTCCCCTCTTTACGGAGGGCAAAAGAATCCTCTCCAAAAAGGGACGTAGGTGACAAAATGGAGGATGCGGGGTCTTTTCCAGCTTTAGCTGTCCCTCTCAGTGCCTGCGGAGGCCAGGTGTGGCTTAAAGGCCAGAGTATAGACTGCCCCCTACAGGCAGTGAGAGGGACAGCTAAAGCGCAGCCTCCTCCATTTTGTGGCGGGAACCTCTAGTAGAAAGAAGGAAAGGAGGAAACTGGATGTAGCTAGAATTCTCTTCATGGCTTTTTTCATCCCTTTTCAGACTCTGTTCTGTGTGTGGAACTTAATCTCTTCTTTGGCTCCTTGAATAAAGCCCATCTTGGTTGAAGCCCCGGAGTTTCCTCAGGGCCTCCCTGTCTCCCCCTCAGGCCGGCTGAGCCCCTGAGTCCCAAGGCCAGAGCTTCTCCCCTCAGATCCCATCCTGGCTCCCCAGAATTAGAATATTATGAATTACCCTCAGAGAAGCAAATAGCGCTGCTGTTTTCAGATGCACAAAAGGCATGTGATAATGGGAATTATGGAAATTTTTTATAAAACAGTTGAAAATGATGGATTTTGGCAGCGCCATGCACTGGCCGGGGAACGACTGTCTCGCCATGGAACGGGCCAGTACTTAGTTGTCCTCCGTTAAGAACATGGAGGGGGGGCATGTTTGGGGATGTGCATGCGCAGTGTGGGGCGCATGTGCAGGGGAGCATGGGGGGGTGTCCTGTGTGCATGCGCAAATGGGGGCACGCATTGCATTATGGGAGCGCAAGAGTGCTCCCGCGCTCAGACTTTTAATAATAATAAATAATAATAATTTTATTTCTATACCGCCCTTCTCCCGAAGGACTCAGGGCGGTGTACAGCCTGTTTAAAAACACAAACAAAACAACAATATAAAATTTAAAATAATTAAATAAAGTGGCTCAGATTTAAAACCCCAATAAATTTAAATATCCCAATTTAAAAACTATTGTGTTGCTAGTCCGGCCTGGCGGAATAATAGGGTCTTCAGTGCGCAGCGAAACGCCCAGAGGTCGGAGATCTTACGAATTTCTGGGGGCAGTTCGTTCCACAGGGCTGGGGCTCCCACAGAGAAGGCCCTCCCCCTGGGCGCCGCCAGTCGACATAACTTGGTTGACGGCACCCTGAGGAGACCCTCTCTGTGGGAACGGACTGGTCGGTGGGAGGCTATTGGTGGCAGAAGACGGTCTCGGAGGTACCCGGGTCCTATGCCATGGAGTGCTTTAAAGGTGGTAACTAACACCTTGAATCGCACCCGGAAGACCACTGGGAGCCAGTGCAGCTCGCGCAGGAGGGGTGTCACATGGGCACAACGAGTTGCGCCCATAACCACCCGCGCGGCCGCATTCTGGAACAGTTGGAGCCTCCGAGTGCTCTTCAAGGGGAGCCCCATGTAGAGAGCATTACAATAGTCCAACCGGGAAGTAACAAGGGCATGAGTGACCGTGCGTAGGGCGTCCCGATCCAGAAAGGGCTGCAACTGGTGAATCAGGCGAACCTGATAAAAGGCCCCCCTGGCCACGGCCGTCATATGCTCTTCTAAAGACAGCCGTGCATCCAGAAGGACACCCAGATTGCGAGCCCTCTCTGTGGGGGGCAGAGATTCACCCCCAATAGTTAGCGATGGCACCTGCTGACTATATCGGGGCGCCGGAAGCCACAGCCACTCGGTCTTGGAGGGGTTGAGTCTGAGCAAGTTCTTCCCCATCCAGACCCGCACGGCCTCCAGGCAGCGAGACATCACATCAAGGGCATCGTTGGGGTGGTCTGGGGTGGAGATGTACAGCTGAGTATCATCAGCGTACAGATGGCACTTCACCCCAAACCCACGGATGATCTCACCCAGCGGCTTCACATAAATATTGAACAGGAGGGGCGAGAGGACTGACCCTTGCGGCACCCCCCATGTGAGACGCCTCGAGGTCGACCTCTGTCCCCCTGCCAACACAAACTGCGAGCGGTCGGAGAGGAAGGAGGAGAACCACCGCAAAACGGTGCCCCCTATTCCTAACCCCCTCAACCGCTGCAGCATGATACCATGGTCGATGGTATCAAAAGCCACTGAGAGATCTAATAGGACTAGGACAGAGGAACAACCCCTGTCCCGAGCCCTCCAGAGATCATCCACCAACGCGACCAATGCCGTTTCTGTGCTGTACCCCCGCCTGAAGCCCGACTGGTACGGGTCTAGATAGATAGCTTCATCCAGGTGTCGGGAAAGTTGTCGTGCCACCACGCTCTCAACAACCTTCGCCACAAAACGAAGGTTGGAGACTGGACGATAGTTAGCTAATTCAGCCGGGTCCAGGGAAGGCTTCTTGAGGAGGGGCCTCACCACCGCCTCTTTCAAGGCGGCAGGAAAGGCACCCTCACTCAGAGAAGCACCTATAATCCCCTGGAGCCAGCCTCGTGTAACCTCCCGGGAGGCCAGTACCAACCAGGAGGGGCACGGGTCCAATAAACACGTGGCGGCACTAATCTTACCCAGAACTCTGTCCACATCCTCGGGAGTCACAGGATCAAACTCCTCCCAGATAACATTCTCAAGACCTGCCCCTGTCTCCTCCCCTGGACTCATCCAATCGGAGTCCAAGCCATCCCGAATCCGAGCGACTTTATCATGCAGGAATTGCACAAAATCCTCAGCACGACCCTGCAAGGGATCTTCCCGTACTCCCCCCCGAAGAAGGGAGTGGGTCACCCTAAACAGGGCAGCTGGGCGGTTCTCTGCAGATGCAATAAGAGCGGAAAAATGGTTAGATTTTGCCGCTTTTATCGCCACTAGGTAGGTCTTGATATAAGACCTCACCTGTGTCTGGTCAGAATCGGATTGACTAGTCCTCCAAATGCTCTCTAGGCGTCTTTTCCGACGCTTCATCTCTCTCAGCTCCTCAGAGAACCAAGGAGCTAATTGAGATCGGCATCGAGTCAGAGGCCGCAAAGGCACGACGCGGTCCAAAGCTCCAGCGGCCGCCCTTTCCCAGGCGGCCACCAGTTCTTCAGTCGAGTCGTGTGTTAGAGTCTCAGGAAACGGCCCAAGCTCCGTCAGGAACCTTTCGGGATCCATCAGGCGCCTGGGACGGAACCATCTGGTTGGTTCCGTCTCCCTGCGGCGGGGGAAAGCGGTAGGAAAGTCTAAGTGAAGGAGCGAATGATCTGTCCATGACAAGGGTTTGATGTCTAGGTCCCCTCTACCAAGATCATTCAACCACTGACCAGAGATAAAAATCAGGTCCAGAGTGTGTCCCCCTATGTGAGTGGGGTCTTGAACTAACTGGGTCAGGTCCAAGGCCGTCATGGAAGCCATGAACTCCCGAGCCACCTCTGACGCCCCACCTGTGGATGGGAGGTCGAAATCCCCCATGACAATAAGTCTGGGGGTATCGACCGCCACCCCGGCAATGACGTCGAGTAGCTCATGCAGGGTTGCTGCCACGTGGCAGGGAGCCAGGTACGTAGTCAGCAGACCCATCTGCACCCCACGGCCCCACTTCACACAAAGGGACTCACATCTGGCTATCTGAGGAACAGTGGTTTCCCTCGGATAAAGACTCTCCCTAATGATCACCGCCACTCCCCCACCCCTCCCCTGGGCCCTTGGCTGATGAAATGCACGGAAACCTGGCGGGCACATCTCTACGAGGGGGACCCCCCCTCTTGGCCCAACCAGGTCTCCGTAATACCTGCCAGGTCTGCACCCCCCTCCGAAATAAGATCACAGATGAGGGAGGCCTTATTAACCACTGACCTGGCATTACATAACATCAGCCGCAGACCCTGGGCATGAGGCTCTACACAACCCAGGACACGAGTCACGCATTGGGGGCCGGAGTGCGCAATCGCTCGGAGACAGCGTGTGCGCACCCCCGACACTTGATATGACCCCCTGCGCCCGTCATACCTGCCCCTCCCACTCATGATTTCAATTACACAGCCCTTTCTATCGTCCCCCTGCCCCCCGGTTAAATTTCCTTTCGTGACCCCTCTGCTGCAGCTAATTAACCCATCATCCCGTGCAGTCGCTATCTGGACCCCCCCAGGTCCACTTTTACAACCCCCTCCCTCCCTCCCGGGTCCCCTTAAAATTTTCCTTAAAAATTTAGCTAAAAAACCCCTCAGCCCCCTCTTTGCTGCATGCCATCTCTCGGGGTCCCAAAGCCCGTCATCAAGATAGGCCCTCGATAACGTGGAGGGCCAGGCCTGCGAGAGGGGGGAGTCTCGCAGCGCAAGAAGGTCGGTTTTTTGGAGCATCAACCGAACCAAAGATGGGAAAAGAAAAGCCAGTCCGGGAATCTGTCATAGTCCAAGGGATAACTGAGTATAAAGGTCACAAAATATCCATTTATAGGGCTGGACTCCACTGTCCTCTCACGACAGGGAGAAGGTCCAAAGTTCTTTTTCTCCAACAGAGGCTAATGGCCAACCATCCTCTCACGACGGCCGGTCCCGTTACAAAGTTGACGGGAGCAATGTTCTATCCTCTCTGTTGGGATGTGGAAAATCCCTCAGCTCTCTCAAATGGTGCACAGTCTCTCCTAGCAGTGAGGGCGTGAGTGGAGCATAATAAGGGGTCCAAAGTGTCCAAAGTGTAGATGTTAATAACGATGGTAATAATAAAGATGTTAATAAAGATGATAATAGACCCATGGGCACAAGATCTTCTTTGAGGTGAGAGTAGGAGTAGCAAGACAGGAAAGTCCAATCCAGGGGTGGTTGGCCATTGAGGCCAACACCCACCCATACCTGGGGGAAAGGGGGGGGAGGAGAGGCCACCCGAGGCGACCAACCAACCAAACCATGGTCAGCCTCCTGCCTCTCCAGCCCCAATCTCCACAACCCCCAGACACAGCTTTGTTCTAAAATACCCCATCACAGTAAAAAAAATCAACTGTGAGCCAGATGGTAATTCTAGGGGTGAGGCTGTCAGCTTCTCCCCCATCAACCTGCTGCCTGGTTGTTCCTCTGGCCGGCCGGTCCATGTCAGCCATTGCCACCGCCGCCGCCGCCGCCGTCGTCGTCAGCCCGTAATCAGGCACCCCAAGCTTCCAAGGCATACCGGAGCCCTGAAAATGCTGGAAAAGAGCGCCCCAGGGATCTAGAGGGCTATAGGGAGCGGGGGGGGGGCACCTCAAGCCGCCGCCGAACAAACACCGCCCGCCGCCGGATGCCTTGGCCTCCATTTCCCCCGACACCGGAAACAGCTGTTGCAGCCAGGCCCATTGCCCCATCTCCCGCGGAGCCGTCCAGCCCTGCCCTGATGTTCCGGAGGGCGAAAAAGCCCTCAACAGGCAGGGCGGATGCTCCCCTCACTGGGACTGGAGCCGAAGATGGACAAGAGGGCTCCTGAAGACCCTGACAACCGGCAACTCTCCCATCTCCGAAACGGAGCTTATTTGGTCGCCGCCATCTTGGAGCATGCGCAGAAGGGAAGGTCAAAAAGGTTCGCTATCACTGCCCTAGACCTCCTCCTGGGGAGAGTCTCAAGTTCCCCTTTCTCTGACATCTTCTCCAGCCCTTCACAGACAAGACAATCTTGGAAGAGGAGCAGAGAAATTGCTTTAGGTAGTAATTATAATTTCTGCTAAAACTGCTATTTTAATTCTATGGTTGATGAAAGAAAAAAAATACAGTGGCAATTTCTTAATACACTTTAATATTTATTTATTAATTTGGTGTGAAGCACATACGAAAAAAACCCCAAACCAATCCCAAACTGAAATCCCAGAAGCTCTTCTGCTGAACACTTTCTGCAAAGGAGGTTTTTATGAGGAAATCAAGAAAGAATTATATAAGAGGGATGAAGATTTCCCTCCCCAGCTGAGAGCCAGTCAAACATGGCATTTCACATCATTCCATCATTCTCACGGAGAGGATCAGGCAACCAGGCTGGTTCCCACAGCTTCCTCCTGGCCTCTTTTCCTGCTCTCTCTCTCTCACACACACTTTTAGCTGTAGGAACAAGTGCCCAAATTATTTTTTATAAGGTGTCACATTCAGTAGCTGTTGCTGAACAGCAAATTTCACTGAATGACTCTTACAGAGTTCTCTTTATTGAGCTGAAAGGGAAGAGAGCTAGAAGAATTCCAGTCATTCAACAATCCCATTTTGAAACATATAGATATGATTTTCTTTTCCTGCATACTATCTAAATGGAAAGAATTAATATCTCCTTTCAAATAAAAGAAACTTTTAACAATTCTTTCAATATCACAATGGTGTTATATCTCATGTTTTTACATTTGTTCTGGCTGTGAGCTGCTCCTTTGTGTTGAGGTCTGGCCTCAGAAGGATAATGTAGCACTTGGGGATGAAGATGCAGCCCAGCAGACCAGCACTGGAGGCCAGGATGGAGAAGACCTGCACAGCCACCATGTATTTCCCTTTGGTGCTCAGGTAGGTGGGCACAAAAGTCACCCAGACACTGCAGAAGACCAGCATGCTGAAGGTGATCAGCTTGGCTTCGTTGAAGGCCCCAGGCAGGTTCCTGGCCAGGAAAGCCACCGTGAAGCAGATGGCAGCCAGGAAGCCCATGTAGCTGAGGGTGACGTAGAACATGACAACGGCCCCTTCGTTGCATTGCAGGATGATCTCTCCAGGCTGGGAGTGGAGGTCAGAGTCAGGGAAGGGGGCAGAAACTCCCAGCCAGATAGAGCAGATGAGAATTTGGACAGCAGAAGAACAAAGAATGATGGAGTTGGCCAAGCTCTTCCCCAACCATCTCTTCACTCGGTTTCCTGGTTTTGTGGCCAGGAAAGCCAGCACCACCGTGATGGTTTTGGCCAAGAGAGAAGAAACGGCAACTGAGAAGATGGTGCTGAAAACCATTTGTCGGAGAAGGCAGGTGGCTTTCCTTGGTTGACCAATGAAGAGAGAAGGAGACAAGAAGCAAAGCAGGAGGGAGACCAGGAGGATGTAGGAGAGGTCCCGGTTGTTGGCTTTGACAATGGGAGTTTCTCGGTATCTAATAAAGATGATTAAAACAAGGCCTGTGGTTAGGAAGAAGAGAAGGGCAAAAGAAACCAGGATGATGCCCAGATGTTCTTCATAAGACAGGAAGGTTATAATTTTGGGGATACATTGAACTCGGTCCTTATTTGGGTATTTATAATCTGGGCACTTGGTGCATTTTTCGGTATCTGAGAAAGCAAAAAAAGCAATATTTCTTTAATATTCTGTCCTTTTATCTTACAGAAAATACCTTCTTTGGATAACAGCTGATACCCCAGGCATTTTCCAAGAAGTATTTCTTAATAATTTCATTAAACAGTCACTCCTTTGAAATGGCATAAGGTCTCCTGCTTGAGCAGGGGGTAGGACTAAAAGACCTCTAAGGTCCTTTCCAGCTCTGGTCTGATTATTGATTGATTGATGCACATGACTGGCAGACTATTTGTGTATTGAGTTCCCCCCATAACTATCCACAGCACCACATTATGGACCAATGACACCTTCTCAGTGATCCTCAAGGGGAGGATCCAATATACAGTGGATTGCAAGGTCTTTCAGAAAGTGGACCTAAAACAATTCATAAAATTTCAAAGAACTCAGATGTTCCTAGAAAGATAAATTTAGCAGCACATATCCAAACTAAAAAGCAGAAGAGATGTTTCCTCTGCTGTTAGTAAAGCTTGCCCAGTCTGCCACCCCCTCCTCCCATCTCTTCACAACCCCTCCAGAGCGGAGATGGTCCCCTCCAAACAAGGAACACAGTCCTAGCAGCAAACCGGCACAATGAAAATTCTCCTCCATTTAGACTCAGGCAGGGACTAAACAGAAAAAAGGGAATGGCAAAGAAAAGATGTTAAGACTCTCCATCCATGGAAAATGGAGGTAGAAATGGATGGAGACAAGGGTTCCACAAAGAAATGGGGTTCAAAGGTATCATCTTTTGGCCTTTTTTTTGACAGATAACCAAACTTCCAAAACTATGGATGTATTTGAGAAGTCTGTGCTTGTTTATTGTATAGTCTTTAAAATTTGTGAGGACCCAGACTCTCCCTTCAATGGGTCTTGGCAAACACATAAGTGTTAAATGGAAAGGAAGAATTCTGGTCCAAGAGGAAACATGTTCTATGAAGAGAACAAAGACATTGACTTGTCTCCACTTAGAGAGGGCATCCCTGAGGGGGGCTGTCTGTTCAGATGGTAAAAATTGTTGCGATATATCAAGACAAATTCCATTCCTGTCATGTACAGGAAGGAAAGTCCTATTGAAATTCTCTCCTCTGTCTGAAGCAAAGCGGCCAATTGAGGTCCATCTGAAATGGAGCAGTTGGACAATTGCTGGGTACTGGAATCCTTCTTTGGGATGCATCTGGTGGAAAAAGTGGAATTGTATCTTGTAACATCTGGAAGCAACCTGGAATTAAGGAGAAACTTCCTATCAGTGAGAGGAATTAGCCAGTGGAACAGCTGGCCTCCAGAAGTTGTGGGTGCTTCAACATTGGAGGTTTTTAAGAAGAGACTGGACAGTCACTTGTCTGAAATGGTATAGGGTCTCCTGCTTGAACAGGGGGCTGGACTAGAAGACCTCCAAAGTTCCTTCTACTCTATTCTGATTGATTGATTGATTGATCTGTATGGCAGACTATTTGTGTAATGAGTTCCCCCCACAACTATCCACAGCACCAGATTATGGCCCAGTGACACCTTCCCAGTGATCCATAAGGGAGGCCAATAAACAATGAATTGCAAGGTCTTTCAGAAGGTGGACCTGAAACAATTCATCTACTTTCAAAGATCTCAGATGTTCCTAGAAAGGTAAACTTAGCAGCACATATCCAAACTAAAAAGCAGAAGAGATATTTCCTCTGCTGTTAGTAAAGCTTGCCCAGTCTGCCACCCCCTCCTCCCATCTCTTTCCCAGCCCCTCCTTCCAAGTCTTCTTGATTTACCTCCATTTAGATGAGAAATTGTGCAGGTTAAAAATAAATAAAAAAATAAAAAAAAAAACAGGTGAGCTTCGATCTGTCTTTTAACTTGCACTTTCATGAAAAGGTTCTGGATGGATCAAGGTCCACAAAGCCTCCCATTTTCCTCAGTGTGACCCACCTTCCTGAGTGGAGAAGGTCCCCTCCGGACAAGGAACGCAGTCGTAGCAGCAAACTGGCTCTCCTTCTCGAGCCCTCTTGACAAATCCAGGATGACAACTTTCCACACATTTGGACTGAGGCAGGGACTGAGCAGAAAAACAAGGAATGCCAAAGAAAAGGTGTTAGGACTCTCCATCCATGGAAAATGGAGGTAGAAATGGATGGAGACAAGTAGCCTCCGGTCTTCTCTGAGGTAAATAGGAAACCTCTGACTACTTCTAAACAGATGCAGGAGGTAAAACAACTGGCAGGTTCTTCATGTAGTTCCTCCCTTTTGAGTTTGCAATTTAACATTACAATAAAGTACTTTTCCATTTAATAAAGTCTAGAGGGATGGAATTGAAAAAAAGATTTAAATATGATGATATATTCATCTTAAAACTGAGAATAAAGTTTACTGTAAAAGATTTAGGAAACTTTTATTCCATTAGATTTTTTAATATGAAATTAAACTGTGATGAAGAAAAAATAGCTCAGACCAGTAAGATCTTGAAAGGGTTCCATAAAACAAGGCAAAGCCACTCCACTTAGGTCCCGTCTCTTGAAGAACTTCCATGAGATGACACCACCTGGCATGGGAGGCCAACCACCCTGGAGACTCCAGGCTTTGCCCACTTTAAATGGGACCTCAGGCTTTGGAAAACAGAGAAAAGACACCAATATTTCTCCCACCTTATTGAGCAACTTTAGTAGTGAAAGAGTATCTTGGTCGATAGAAAATCTCTGTCTTTTAAAATACGCCAGAGACTCTTCCTTGACATCCCCCTTGGGGAGAACCAAGGAGGCCTGAATGGCCAGATCTGCTGTTATCTCTCCATTTTGGTCCAAGTACAGTTTCCTCTCAGAAATATTCCAAAATTCATTCTTCTCCAGAAAGGGATGAAACTAGAATGGGAACATCCAGGAATTTGAAAAACAGAAAACTTTGTTTCTTTTCCCACATTGAATCTTCCTTTTACAATTGTCTAATCTCCAAATATGCTTAATTAGAATACAAATATTATCATTATTTTTATAAGTGAATGAAAAACTTTTGAGAAAAATTTGTCCATCATATACTGACAAAGCATAGAGAAAATATCATTGACACAACTGATCAATTATAGGGAACATTCTAGAGCAGATGACAAATAAAATGAACAGAGGAAAAAAAAGATGATTCACAAACTCTTTGAAAACAAGGGGAAGGCGATCTTGTAACTGGCAAAGCCAGATGAGCGAGGCCCGGTTAAAAAATGAGGCTGAGGTGGCTTATGCAAGCTTGGGGGTTCTTACGCAAGAGTAGCTCCACCTTCCTGTCTTCCGTTCGCGAACCGTCCATGACATCGTTAGTCAAAAGAGAGGACGATGTCAATTGGGCTATGGGAGCGCCCACAGAAGGCAACTGTAACATGTCCTGGAGGTTGGGGGCCGAGCAATACAACCGTTTATCAAGTGGGTGGGTGGATTCCCAGAAAGCATGGGTTGATCAAGAAGAAAGTTGTCAGGCTAATCTTCTCCCTGGTCATCCTGATGGAAAACACCTCCAGATGGAGAGTGGCTGGCTCTGGAGAATTTGATCGCTGAAGAGGGAGCCGGGCTTAGAGAGGGGAGAGGCAGTACCGATCAGTGCTTAGTTCTTCATCAACTGATGGAAAAATACGTATCAAATAGACCTGCATCATTCTACGCCTGCTTCATAGATCTCAAGGCAGCCTTTGATACAGTTCCCAGGACAAAGCTATGGGAGAAGCTGGAAGCTGCCTCAATTGACCACAAGCTTCTTCATCTCTTACCTGCCCTACATACTAAAACATCCCTCAAGGTGAGGTGTGATATGCAGGGGTCCCTCTCGAAGTCAGTTAAAACTCAAAAGGAGGTTAAACGGGGGCATTTTGGCCCCCCTGCTTTTCAACTTTTACATAACTGGCATGGTAAAATGGCTAAACAAACCAAATCACCCCCCAAAAAAATAGGTGACCGAAGCATCGCCCTCCTGCTCTATGCAGATGCCCCTGTGATCCTCTCCAGGACACCAGAAGGCCTTAAAAGAGCCTTGCGAGCCCTTCTCCAGTACTGTAATTACAATCAACTGGGCATAAATGATGAGAAAACAAAGATCAAAAAGGCCAAAACATTCTTTTTTTTTTAATTTATAAACTTTATTAACAAATTAAAAAAAACACATAAAACACAATTGACAAAAACAAAGAAAAATACATTATACAATAAACAACTTCTGGCGGTGACGACATCGTGAGCTGGGTGAGGAAACGGCAGTTGCCGTCTCTGGAACCCCAACTTTCTTTGATAGAAGCTCTTTAGGAGCTTTTCTGATCCCGTAGAGATCGGGAAATAAGAGAGGAAGTCTTAAAGCCCCTGGACGCAGCGCTAGCGTCGGAGGGGAAATGGGACAAACCCCTCAAATCTATTGGAGAAGAAGTCCGCCCCTCGGGTGAACAGGAGCGATGGCGGCTGCCTAGAGTGAAGCTAATGAGAGAAAGCGGTTTCGAGTGGCAGAGCGAAGTGGAGAATCCTTAGAGGAGAGACGCGATGAAGAGAAACGTGGAGGAGAAGGGGCGTGATCTGATGAACCAACCTGCAGCGGTGATTGAGGAGAGGAGCACATAAACCAGGTCAGAACAGCAGTGAGAGGAAGTATAACCTCGTGGAGTGACTAAGTTGTTCTTTGAGAACGTGGGACTCTAAGACTCTAAAAAGCAGCCGAGCAGTGGTGGTATAAGCACGAAAGAAGAAGACAAATTAAAAGTAAAAGAACTCTAAAATTCAAGGTGAGTTGATGAACGCTAAGTTGCCTATTGGTGCCATTGAAGATTGCAGTGATAAGATGGAAAGGGAGAGAAGTTGCTTTGAACAGAACGCGGGAGTAGCCATATTTAAGTCACTGAAGAGATTGGACTAAAGATTGGACTAAAAACGTTAAGTACGATCAAAAAGGGGGGAGTAACTTTTCTAGACTCTCTATCTGCCAATAAGTTGGACACATTGTATATATTGTATAGATAGCAAATTATCAGACATTGTAAAGTGATAACAGGAATACACATCACAACTTAAAACTTGCAGAATTTACAATTTATAATTGAAAACTTATTTACTTATTTATTAATCTATATATCAATTTATTCAAGTCATAAACTTTAAATATAGATTGTGTTATGATTTTATAGAATCTGAAAAAATAGGAAGGGGATTGAATGAAATTTAACTAAGATTTTTTGATTGGCATTGTAAAATAAGAGGTGAGAATTGATTGAATATTAATTAATTAATTAATTATTAATTAATTATTGATTTAGTAAAGTTGGCTGTTTAGTAAATGATCATTGGGGGATTAAAGTGTGATTAAAGTGTGATAGTTAATAAGAATAGAAGCAAACCTAGCTGCAGAAGTTAAAGAAACAGAGGATAGAAAATCAGCGCATAAAAATTATATGTTAGCCTGGGAAAATTTCTCTCGAGCATTAAAGATGTCAACAATATCCACTATAACGAAAACAGGGAAAAAACCAGCTGTAAATACTACAACGGTGGCAGCATCACCAATACAACAAAAAACATTAGATAGTATGGTAGTAAAAGAAAAGGAGAAAGAAAAAATGGAAATGACATTAAATACTATGCAAAGCATGTTTTCGATGATACAGGAAACGCTACTAAAAACACAAGAAAAGATGGCAGAGAACCAGGAAGAAATGAGATCACTACACAGAGAAATCAAAAATGAAATTGGAGAAGTTAGGGGAGATATTAAAAATATGAATGATAGAATTGGAGACATTCAACAATCAATAACCGGAACAAAGAATTAGGAAAGCAGAAGCTAAAATAGACTCAGTAGAGATGAAAGTAGAGAAAATGAAACAGAAAACAGCTCAAATAAATAAAGAACTGTCCGACTCCTTAGCAACTCTCGACATGGAAAAAGCTTCATATTTTCTGCGGTTCCAAAATATATCAGAAGAGAAAGATGAAGATCTTGGTGAAAAAATGGCAGAGATAATAGCAGAAATAACAGAAAAAGACAAGCAGGATATACAGGGACAATTAGACGAAATCTACCATGTCCATACAAACTACATAAGAAGGCATCGGTTGGCAAGAGAAGTACATGTCAAATTCTCAAAAAGATCAATTAGGGACAAGGTATATATGAAATCCAGAGGAGGGACGTTGACATACAAAGGCAAGGAAATTATAATCCTAAAACAAATATCCCGAAGAATCAGGAATCAGAGTCAACAATACCAGTTCCTAACAAATCAGCTGAATAGACACAAAATAGCCTTCAGATGGCTAATACCGGAAGGGATTCTGGCTACGTGGGAAGATAAAAAATACAAAATAGATACACTAGAGAAAGCAAGAGAGTTTTATGATTCACACTTTAATCAGGAAGACGACCAAGACAATAAAGAGGAAATAGAAAGTAGAAGCCAAGAAGTTCAATTAGAAGCAATACAAGAGAAGGAAGTAAGGACAAGACAAGAAAAAGAAAGAGAGGAGAGAGAAGGTGCGAGGACGAAAACACGGATGGAGACAAGGAATACAAAAAAACAGCTACATTAGATAATGGAAGAGGCCCTGAAACTTTATTTGGTAAATATTAACGGCCTGAATGTATCCAAAAAAAAAAAAGATCCCAAACTTTTACAAAACTACAAAAAATAGGAGCAGATGTGACATGTCTCCAGGAAGTACATATAAAAAAAAGACACCAAAAAATCTTAGAAAATTCCAAATTAGGGAAATTATATACATCGTTGACCTCAAAAAAGAATAGGGGAGTGGCGGTATATGTTAAAGACTGGATCCTTTTGAAATAAAAATATGCAGACGAAGATGGCAGAACAGTCATGATTGAATTATTATTGGAAAATAGGAAAATACTGCTAGTAGTAATATATGCACCGAATCAAAACCAACATGAATTTTTAAGGGCATACACAATAAAATAGTTGAGCTGGAATACGAAGATATTCGTTTAATTGGCGATTATAATGCGATAGTAGATGTGAAAAAAGATTATAAAACGGGTAAAAAGAACAAGAAAAAAAAAGAGATTCTTCCTAAAGAATTCTTCGAT